GGGAGAGGGGGAAGGGATAGGGGGAGGAGGAAGAAGGGGAAAGAGGAAGTGGGAGAAGGAGGAGAGGGTGGAGTAGGCAAACTGCATTCCTTGCAAAGACAGTGCCAAGAAGTAGAGATGATCTATTCTGTCAGCATCATCTTATTTCCTTTCACATTTTTAATTATATGAAAGAATCCTAAGCTAAACAACCAGAGGATACACACCAGCCCATGAAGTTAAACTGAACTGGCTCCATGAGACAAAAAGGCATCAGTAAGAGAACACTATCACAGGATTTTTTTTTTTTTTTGGGCCTTTAAAGATAAATATAGTAAGTTCCTTCTGCTTTCCCAAATAAGTGGAATGGATGGCACCTGGGAATAAGACTCTACCAGAATAAGTGTTTGCTACCTGAAGCTGAACTCATAAATGGAATACGTCATTCACTATTTGGGTATGGAAACAGATATCTATGGGGGCAAAAGAGAATTTCATTGATTTTATTTTTTTTTATTTTAATGTAATACAAGTAGATATTAATGAAAATATAAAAGCCTTTCTATAAAAATAATTTTCATAACAAAATAGAGAATAACAGTAGCAAATACGTGGTGTATCAGTATCTCTCAGCTCATTTCCTAGTAATACCATAGCTTTTCTGCATAAAACATTTTCATTAACAAAGTACCTCACACTCTGTAAAATGTTGAACAGCTTCTTCCTGTTTCACAATATCTATTATACCTTTTGACTAATTGGAAGAAAGATAAAGAATGACAAATAATGCTAAACATGTTTTATGGAACAGAGAAAATGATTGAGAAATGCAAGCAGAAGAAACATGTTAAACTCTCAAAACTTTAAAATAGGAGGAAAATAAAGGATTGTCAACATAAACATATATTAATAGATATATATTTCTGTATGTAGGAAATATTTGCATAATTTAAAGCCAAAAATCTACAGGCTTACCTGTCATATCGCATATCAGAAAAACTGACAAAAGATAAACACTGAGTGTGTCTGATTCAAATATAAAGAAAATCGTCTGGGACTTAAAAATATCAAGCCACACATGAGTAGAAAGTAATCGTATGCTCTCACCCAACTACAAAATGATGGTCAGTACTAAAAGAGAGCAGAGCAATGAAAATGTAGAGAGTGTGACCCACAAGCTCTATGAATAAGGTAATTGTCACTCACCTTCAAAAACTCAGAGTATATTAGTCTGAGGAGGTTTTTTCAAGAAATTAAAAAAAAAAAACCCTAGCGAACAAAAAGAGATACACTGAAAAGTTGAATAGGTTATTAATGATTTATTCCATTTATCTGCTATATTAAAACAGATATGAAGATTGTATTCACAGGGAAAAGAAGAAAAAAATGTAAATGTTATGAACATTAACACAAAAGTGATAGCACTTAAAAATGCCAGGAAATGAATATTAATGTCTATGTTGAGTTCATCATCTTTCGTAGATGAGGGTCAAATATAATTATGTCTGAAAAGTATTTTGGATTTGTAAATAATTTTAAATTATTTTCAAACCGTTTGAAGTTGTAAGCAGCAAGCTAAATAACGGCAATTAAATTGGAAGCACAGAGACGGGATGACATAATGTTAAAAATGGAAATAAATACTAAACATTTTCAAAACAGTCTAAAATATCATAAAGGAATTTAAAAGGCAAATGATAAACTAGAAAATTATATGCAATATATATCACCTGCCACTAATGGCTCTAAACGTGCTAGAAATAATATTAACAATTCAAGAGAAAATTAGACACGCATATGAAAATTATACAGCAAATCCAAAATATAGGAAATTCTATAGAACAAAATGACTTGTTTCCTCAATGAATAAAGTGCATGAAAACAAAAGGATGAGAAGAACAATTATCAACTAAAAGATGCTTAAGAGCTATGTAAACCAGGTGCAATGTGCTAGCATTTTTAAAAACCTAATTAAAAAACAATTAGAAAGACATTTATAGAATTGAAAATTTATAAAACTGGAAATATTGTAATATTGATGGAATATCAAATATTAAGGAGTTGGTATATTTAGTGGGTATGATGATAGTATTGTAGATTTTCGTTTTTGCGGTCTGTTAGAGAAACATATGGAATTATTGGAGGGTGAATCAATGCAATATCTGGCTGGGATTTGTTTTAAAGTATTCCATTAAAATTCTAGAAAAGAAAAGTGATTGAAGAAGCAAAGATCATAATCATTTTTGGATTCAGGAAATGAGCCTGTGGGAATTCATTACCCCTTCCTCTCCACTTATGTATAAGTCTGGAGTTTTTACTGTATATGTTTGAATGAGCTGTTTCTACAAGTCCTACACAGCGGCGTGATTCCTGGTGTCTAGAGAACAGATAAATCAAAAGCATCACGACTTCAGTTACGACTGGCGTGTAATTCCCTTTACATTCTTTCACTAATCTTGTTTTAAAACTAAAACCTGAAAATAAGGCATATAGAAAGCACGTGTGACAGTTTTGCATCTTGAGCTAACTGGATAATTCGAAACTGACTGGTCAGTTTATTAAACTGATTGTTTAGGGATTTTGGCTAATATATATGAAATGTACTCCACGTTTGTTGATGAAATTATTGCTTATTTGGGGAGAAGGAGAGGCAACATGAGCATGCTGTAAATAGAGTCATGAGAAAAATAAATAAGGGAGGAATACAAACTTCGCTTCATCTCGCTGTTCTGAAGCACCCATTACAGCACCTCCTAACTAACCCACTGTCTCCCCACAACTCATCCAAAAGAGTGCTTCTATTTCATTAACACATCTTGCTACGGTGTTCACAACTCCTTCAAATGCTCCACTGTCCATCTCAATGTAAAATAAAATAAAACGTCTCCAGACAGCACAACATTTGAAGACAAAGGGGAAAATCCTAACAGGCAATTCGGTCAGGAAGAAAAGAATAATGCACATCGAATGACCAGATTTTCATTAAGGCAGGTCGAAGGTTCCCAGGACCGTTAAAGGCACGGAATATGAAATCTGCCTTCAAGACTAAGCACACCGAGATAGTAGGGGATACACTTGATCTACTCAGTAATGCTAGCTGCCACCACTTTGCACACTGCTTAACACAATCTATACTCCGAAGCACAGATCTTCATACAATAATTCAACCCTACCATTGAGGAAAATATACTCAGGACCTTCAACGGACACTGCTTTATCAGTGTAGTTTTAATTGTTTAAGAACCTAGAACATTACAAGACTCCTCCCTCTAGCCTGCCTCCAAGTTGCTGATGTTTTTACTGTTTTAGTAACAGAAAATAATCAAATCTTCAGTGTGCATAATGCAGCTCTAGGTTTCTATGCCACACTACAAAGCAGAACAACAGAATTATGGATGTCAGTGCTCACCTATTCAAATAAATAAAGCGCAAAGACATAATGGTAGATTTAATATGATTAAATGATAATGAGCTGTAATAGAATTTTCATTTCATTGATAATATAATTTCAGAAACCATTTCAAGTCTAGTGACCACTGCAACAGTAGTATGCTCAAGAGGAGAATCCAGAAGTTTGAAGTTCGTATTTACTATTTTGGCATTCCCACCTATCTTCTCCCATTTTCATCTAGTGGTGATGTTTTTCTGGATATGCTTATCCACTTCTTACATTTGCAATGCCTTATGCCATTTCCATGAATCCCTAGTGCCCTTGCCATGTTTGTTTTCATTGTGCAATCTTTCCCCAAGGTAGACAGAATGTCACACTTTCCCGCAGCTCACAGAATAATCTGTTTCTCCACGATGCCTGAAGTGTATACCTTATGTATGCACACACACACAGGCATAAACACAGGCATGGCAACCTGTTAGGCACTTTCACATATGTTCAGGAAATGTGCACTTCAAATCACCAGGGCCCTTGGCCTACCACTCTTGGATGCTAGTTGGATACTACCGTGGCTTAGCATCCTCGCTAATCACAGGAAGTCTTTTTCCCCACAGGGCTTATGCTGTCTGGACTTATCCTCAACTTCCTTCACCCCTGACTTTTACCTACAAAAGTCAAACTCTTGGCCAGAGACCTCTTCCTAAGAGTTTGCTTCCCACACCTAGGAATATTTACAAGTGCTCAAACTCTAGCCAGAGCAGTTCTAAATGCCTTATGAGGGGAATTTAATTTAGTCCACACCTATAAAATCACTGGTATGATTAATAACATCTGATATTTAATCCACACTTGCATTCTCACAGCACAAATAAAAGAACATCCTTCTTCAAAGAGTTTCAAAGAATAAGGAAAATGCATTTCTCTAATGAAATAAAGTCCTTTAGGTTGTGTTGACTCCAGACAATATAAAATGAGGACCTACATGCAGACAGACGTAAGACTGAGAAGTCAAGACCCGTAAAATTTTCTTGAAATTTCCTGACTACCAGAGGTAATCCCCCAAAATCCCTCAACCAAGTCTCTGCTTTACACATTTCAGTGACTTCACCTGGGGTTACAGACCCACAGTGGTATGCAGGTTCTGCCTAGCACTTACCCATTCCCTGCTCCATTCCCTAAACAGAAGCACGAGGTCTGGTTCTAGAGATAACCAAGTAGCTTGCCAATTTCTAGGTAAATATCTGGGGCATATGTACGAATGGGCATTCTAAGGAAGAGGAAATGTTAAAATTGGGCCATATTCATGTTAACCATGGGCACACTTATACATGATTCAGTATTTAACATTAGCCCAAGCATTTGAAAGTAGCATTAAAATAATGTGCAATGTTATTTAATGAGCTGTGAATTCAACAGCCCTCAGGCAATAAGGACTGAGACACAGAATTTCCCTGGCAGTGTTAAGGAACCCAAAAGCTCAGAGAAGTAGGAACTTTAAGGTGTACTTCTGTTGTCTTCGTCTAACTATTAATAATGTGCTCTCTCATCCTCCGCAGTATCCTGCCTTGGGATGATGAGCCACCAGTTGGGCCACCTTTTACCTGTGCCACCTTCAGGGCTCCAGAAGACACTTCTTTCACCAAGGTTTTAAGAAATACCTTGGTGCAGAAAACATCAGCATAGCTACACTGTCCTCTGTTGCTGTTCTCTGGCCCCTAGAGATGCCAGTAGGAAATCCTGGGATTGAATTGGATTCCCAGATCTCAACGGGACTTACGTGGGAAGAGTGCGAGTGGCAGAGGCCAATGACCATACTTAACCACTAAAAGACAACCCATCTCTATCTTTCGTAGTGCTTGATATTTACTGAAAAGATTGCCAACTCTTTTTCCAGGTAGTACTGAGGAGCTGGGATGAGTGCCTATTCCTGCTTATTTGCTTCATTGTATTTAATCATCATTTGTCCAAATGCGCACATCTGTGTAAGACTGCTGGGATTCCGAAAAACAACAGCTGTGCAAAACCGGTGCAGAATCTTGGCTGCCAGGCACACCGGGCTCCCGCAGCAATCTAGGAGGGCAGGGAAGGAACCTGGGAGTGAGGAGGCAACTATCCAGGTTGTAAAACTGTAGAGCTGTAGCCAACTCAGGCATCTTCTATGTTGGTCCTTATCTCCAAAAGCCGTGGTCTGTCCGTAGGATGGAGTAGGTTGTGGTAGACTAGGTCACTGGCAGATGTAGGCAGGTGGTGGCAGTTGTCACAGGAGCCTGGCCAATAACTGGGGCTCAGGACATAGTTCAGAGTAGCAAGGGAAGGGGATTGGGGCTGGCCAGAGTTGACACAGCATGCTTCAGAGCAAGGCCCAGCCCCAGTACCTGCGGGTGACTCGGGCCGTACTCTTGGAACAAAGACAAGCACTACAGGGGAAGGAAGAGAGAAAGGGAGAGTGAGAGCGAGCGGAAGGGGACACAGGAGGGAGGAGGGGGCTGAACGCTGCAGCTCCGGGAGTGGTAGGGGGTGGTGGGGGAGGTAGCATGCAGTTCTCTCCTCCTTGAGACCTAGTAATCATCCTCTTCCTCATGCTCCTCGTCTTCCTCGTCATCCCAGCCAAAACACTGTTTCATCTCCTGGAGAAAGGCCCGGTAATTGCCTAGGATGGGGCTATCCATCTCGATGTAGGGCACCACCCACTCCTCGGCTTCCCCAGTGAGCAGGCTGATTAGGAATGCCATTTTCATGGCGTCGTTGCAGAATCGGTTTTCTTTCACGAGCATGTAAGACGCCGTCTGCACGATAAACTCGGGGAGCCGGGCGCTCTCTCCGTTGAACGTTTCAGGGAAAGGCACGGGGCAGATCGGCGGACGTACCTGGCGCAAAAGACTGGCCCGCTCGCACACCAGCAGCCGCAGCTGCTCCACAAGCTGGCTGTTCTCCAAGCTCAGGGCGCGGTGCCGCACCAGAAGTGCGTGGAGCAGCAGCACCACTTCGTCCGTCGCGATCTGCTTGGAAGGCCTGGGCTCCTCGGTTCGGTTCGAATGGGCCAAAGTACACACTAAGGCCTCGCAGGAAATGCGCGACTTTGCAGGCTCTACGGCCAAGGGAGCGGGGGTGCGAGGCTGGGTCGGGGAGGTTGTGATAGCTCCGCCCACAAGGCCACGCGGGGGGTCAGCGCGCCAGCGCGAGCAGTGGGTTTAGTGTGAGGGCGTGGCCAGGGTGGGGCGGACCTGGTAGGGGACGCGGCCAGGGAGGGCTTGCCCTGGCAGGAGCCAGCAAGGTCGCAGAGCCGTGGCGATTGATCATTCAGGAGGTTGCCAGATAAGGGTAGGAAGGGCGGCAGAGTCTGAGATCTGGGCAGAGTATAGAAGTAGCACTGTAGCTCATCTGTTAGAGACTGCGGACCTGAGCGGGCTGAAACCCTACTCCTACTTCCGACTTTCCCGAGGCAATGTCCCTTTGTGAGTCTGTGATCACCAGACTGCTTTGGCAAGGTGTTTTATTAACACTTTCCCTTCCTTATTTAAATCTCAAACAGAGAAATATTGACACTTTGACCTCATCGCAGGAGTTCACGACCATTCAGAATCACAAAGACCCTCTTGGGACCTGTCTTTCAAGACAAAGCAACGTTAATGATACTGTATACTTCGCTTTTAGAACAATCTGAATACTTTCAACATCATAAATTCTGCAAAGTTAGCATTCAATAACCATTTGCAGGGTTCTTATCTCTGACTATTTCATACTGATATCAGTTCCTTGTTTCTGGGTAATATTCCTTGGATAACAGTGGATAAAGCATTAAGAGGCTTGTGCTTTTAAATAATTTTGTTTTTCTATTTTGAAATGTAATATTGAAGTAGTTGACAACTGCGATGGTCCCAGCACCTTAGATCCTACATACACTCGTGGCTTTGCTTTTAAAATAGATCCCCCAATTGGATCACTTCTTGTCACTTCCTCCACTCTTACCCTGATCCCAGGCTTCCATTCCTATCCTGATTGCTGCAAATAGTGCTTAACTTTTACTCTCCTCTTCCTACAATACATTCTCCAGAGAAGTGACAGGAATCTTTCGAATCGAAAGTTAGAACCTTCACGCCCCTGCTCTAAACACTCCAAGTTTCCCCTTTCACCGAGAAAGAAATTAAAAAACAAAAGCAAACTCTTGGTCACAGGCTACGAAAGACCGGGCTTCTCCTCTGCCTCTGCTCCTCAGGTGCCCTGTTCAGCTCCACTTATGCTGCCTTCTTGGCTGACTCTCAGATAAAGCATAGTTCTGATCTCAGAACATTTGAACGCACTTTCTAAACCTTCTGCCTTACAAGGCTCGCTCTTTGATAGGCTGCTTGACTCAGTTTCCCTTTTCTTTCAGAGAGGGCTTTCATGGCCACCTCATGTGTTGAAACACTGCTCTCGGCTGGACGTCTCTCACCCCTTACCCTCACTCTGTCTATCTACACAGAGTCACTGCAGGCACAGCTACCACATCTTAGAGCCCTTTCCTAATACAGGAAGAGAAGTCAGGGTGATTGATCTAGACTGTTGCACACTCATACGTGAACAGGAACGTACACTTGGCAGCCTGAGACCCCACAGTCAAATACTCACCTAAAACCAGGAAGGCCATCAGTTGGCCGAGCTATAGTACCAGCCATTCTGACTAGTTTGCATGCCCGTCCACAGAAAAATTAGTATGTCCCGACTCTCGAGAGTCTAGCTCCCGGCAGCACTGGTGGGGAATCAAACATGATTAGGCAGATGCTTCTCTAGCCTACACCTATTGCCCCATGGTAGAGGGAGTCACATTGGAAAACCAATGAGGCAAACATGAGCATCCCTTGAGTGAACACCTTGTTCCTGGAAGACAAGGAATGGCCTGGTCAGAAGTGCCCAGAAAAGAACAGAGATTTTGCGGGGTTCATCCCTGCTGAAAGGGAGCGGGTGAAGGCAGGCAGCTTGTCACTGGCTCGCAGAAGAAGCAGCTGGGAAGAGGAACTGAACACAGTGAATCCTAATGCTCGTGCTGACCAGCTTTCAGGTGTCTGTGAAGCTTTCCCACCAGTGCCAAGGCCCAGCAGCCCTTCTTTCTCCATCCTCCTTACTTTGCCTTCCTCATTCCCCTATCCCTCTCAGGTGATCCTTGAATGTCCCTCTACACTTGCGGAAAGATGCTGGGGGCAAAGCCAAGTACTCCCTGTCACTTGCCTGTGGATCATGAACTTCATCAGGATAGCTAGGGCTCAGAGTACCTGAGAGGGGCCTGAACCCCAGCATGGGAGAGAAGCAGAGGCCCGAGGCTAAAAAGTGGTCCCTGGTGTAAATTGCTGCCACCATCTTCAGCGCTTCATACCCTGCCCCGCTACATAGCCAGCAGCCAGCTTGCACCAGAAGGGCACACACAGTGTACCTGGCACAGGAATATGTGCCCAGGAGCAGAAAGTCGTTTCAGAGGGGAAATTTGTAAAAAGATAACTGGATGCCACAAAGATCCAGGCTCGTAGACTCCTCTCAACTCCTCCTTCTTAGCCAGGTGCACCTGAAGCTGCTTTTTACAGGAACCCAATCTGAAAGGCTGCGGAGGCCTGTGGCTAAGAGAAAGAAATAAGGAAGGATAGTTCTGCCCTTCATGTCTTTTACCCTCTCCAGCTTTCTAAAGTGCCCTGAAAAAAATTTCCAGGCTTGATTAAAGTAAATTAGAATATTCTTGTGGTATAAAAATCTTATAGTAAGTAATACTGATGTGTTAAAAAAAAGAGCAGCAAATCTTATCAACCCCACCAAGATATCCCTTAACAAAATTGTTGGAAATTTAAAACTCAAAATTTATGATCTTTCTCTTGCTCTCTCTCCCCCAAGTAATAGGATCCCCAGCCCTACCTGTTTCCAGAAAGAGTCCATAATAGTTCACCTAAATGTCTCAGGAACACCCTCTGCTTGATAACTAAAGCGGCTCCCTTTCTGTTCACTTTCTCAGATAATACAAGAGAAGTGTGATCCAATTAAAAGCGTAGTCCCAGAGATTAATATTTTGAAATTATATTTCTGTAACTGAATTATATTTTCTATAACTGAATATAGCTGAATTATATTCTATAATTGAATTAATGTGTTATTTTGAATAATTTTCATTTTTCATGTATATGTTTCTATATTGCTATGATGTAGAAATTATTGCTTGCAGCATACGGCACTAGAATTGTTGTCCTTATTTATTCTAGCCTAATGAATGTAATGTAATTAGCCCCAGTCATTATACAGGAGCTTGTACGCTTAGTTTGTTTCTAACCCTTCCATATATTTCAGAAAATATCTGGCAGCATGCTAAATCTGTTCTTATAGGTATTAAGAGAATAGTCTGTGATAATGTGTGCCTGCTTGTTCGTTTTAAATGTTTAATAGGCCTCTTCCAAACTGCTTACTTTAATCTAGACTGCTTCCCACTAGGCAGAATTATGTGGTAAACCATAGATAAATACAAATTATTTGCACTCAGCAAAGAGGTAGACACAATGCTTCCTCCCCTCTGATTTGATTTGACAGGTAGAATATAACAAAGTAGCTTAAAATATATGAACTGAGGCCTTGAACACCTGAAGCCTTCTTTTCCCACATGCTGTGGCCCCTCTCGGGGGACAGCCAACATATAAGGAAGAAGTCTACACACTCTGAGCTCAAGCTACCTATGCGGAGAATGGAAGATCTTATGAAGGAGCAGCAAAAGAGCCCAAAGGCAGGAGATGGAAGCTCCCTTCCTAGGCTCTGCGGCCTCCACCTGAATGTAGCTGAGAGAATGACCCTAAATGACTACATATAAACCAAAAATAACCATCCCGCCTAAATGAATTTCTGATCCACAGAATCATGGGCAAATGAAATGACAGTTGCTTTTAAGCCACAGTGTTTTGGCATGGTTTGTTACATTGCAGCAGAGCCTGCTTGAAGCACAGCAAAATTGAAGGTATGCTGCCAATGAAAGCATTAACCCTCTTTCAAAAGAACTGTTGTGTTTGAAAACTATAGCCCTTTTCCATTTTCTCAGATCCCGCTTTTTGTATTGTTTGACATTCATTAATTACAGGGTGAAGCTATTGGTCAAAGTTCTGTAACTCTCCCCTTTGATCCCAAGCTTATATTCTAAATCCGCTTCTTTTATCTAACTCTCACACACCCAACCAAGATTTGCCTGACTCTAAATCAACTGAGATCCAGGTACAAGACAGTCGGTGGTATCCCCTATGCCTGAAAGCCTACTGGGATTATTTAAACCAACCAAACCCACGATATTTACTATGTCTCCTCTTGCTTGCCCCATATAACTCCAGTAAGAGTGGTCTAGAGCTTCCTTACCTCCTTTCCACCTTCTAAACAAAATTCGATGCTTCTGCATGTAGCTTTGCAGGGCATAGTATGTGCACTACTATGTAGAAATCAAGTTAACAAAAACCTTGAGTGACACTGACCTTTTTGTGTTGTCATCAGTCAGCTCCACTGATTGAAATCCTAACTGTACAATCAAGAAAAAGTCAAAGCAATCTTTTCCTGCAGGAAACTCTAAAGGGTGCATGTGTACATGTATGCATTTGTGTCCTTGTGTGGCTTCCCTGTACCACAAAGAATGGGACTTCTAATGAGAATTGGTGGAGTCAGAGTAGGTCAAAGATAGAAAACCAACCATATTTCTCTGAGGACAATATATACCTATCTATAAACAAGTGAGAAACATTTTATAGAAGCTTTACGCAAAGAAAAGAATTTTTTAAACAATTTCTGGTTTCAAATCACTTTATTCTTTTTTATTAACTATGTGACTTGACCATGTCACTTGTTCCTTCTGAGCCCCAGACTCTAAATGTCTACAGTAACAAAACCTGCATCATAAGACTATAGTGAAGATCAAATTATATGATAAAAATCATATTCATCAGAGGGATGGCTGGGTCAAATGGAACCTCCAGTCCAAGCTCTTTGAGGTATCTCCATATTGATTTCCATAGTGGTTGCACTAGTCTGCACTCCCACCAACAATGGAGAAGGGTTCCTTTCTCCCCACAACCCTGCCAACATTTGTTATTGTGTGATTTCTTGATAGCAGTCATTCTTTGTTGGGTGAGGTGGAATCTCAGTGTTGTTTTCATCTGCATCTCTCGAATGACCAGTGATGTGGAACATTTTTCATATATTTTCTTGCTGT